TCTTTTACTCTCCATATACTCTGCTCTTCTTATATCACTTCTGCTTTGTAAAAACCTCTCATAAGTTATCTTTTTCTCTTGTATCACACCCTTTACTTCATTCCACCAATCACTTCTCTTTCCTCCTACACCCACCCTTCTATAGCCATAAACTTCTGCCCCACATTCCAATACTGCATTTTTAAAACTATCCCATCCCTCTTCAACCCCCCCCCCCCCCCCCACTACCCATGCTTGCCAATAGTTGCTTATATCTCACCCTAACTTCCTCCTCTCTTAGTTTGTACACTTTCACCTCTTACTTGCTGTTACTATTTTCCTTCTGTCCCATCTATCTCTTACTCTAACTGTAGCTATGACTAAATAATGATTTGATATATCCATTGCCCCTCTATAAACAAGTACATCCTGAAGCCTACCCATCATCCTTTTATCCACCAATACATAATCTTACAAACTACTTTCATTACGGGTTATATCATACCTTGTATACTTATTTATCTTCTTTTTCATAAAATATGTATTACTTATTACCAGACCTCTTTCTGCACATAGTTCAATTAAAGGCTCCCCATTTTCATTTACCCCTGGCACCCCAAATTTACTTACTACTCCCTTCACAACATTTTTACCCATTTTAACATTGAGATTCCCAACCACATGTACTCTCTCTTGGTTCAAAACTCCCCATGCACTCACTCAATATTTCCCAAAATCTCTCTCTCCTCTACACTTCTCTCTTCTCCAGGTGCATAAACCCTTACTATAACCCACTTTTCACATCCAACCCTTATTTTACTCCCCATAATCCTTGAATTTATACATTTATATTCCCTCTTGTCCTGCCATTACTTATCCTTCAACATTATTGCTACTCCTTCCTTGGCTCTAGCTCTATTAGAAACCCCCTGACCTAATTCCATTCATTTATCCCCACTGAAACTCTCTCACCCTCTTCAGCTTTGTTTCACTTAAAGCCAGGACATCCAGCTTCTTTTCATTCATATCATCCACTATCATCTCTTATCATTTGCACAACATCCACGCACATTCAGACATCCCACTTTGACATTTTTCTTCTTTTTCTTTTTAGTAAGTTGTATGGGAAAAGGGGTTACTAGCCTATTGCTCCCGGCATTTTAGTTGACTTTTACGACACACATGGCTTACAGAGGAAAGATTCTTATTTCACTTCCCCATGGATATGAAAGGAAAAACAATAAGAGCAAGAACTATTAAGATAAAATCAAAGAAAATTCAGATGAGTGTGTATACATCAACGTGTACATACATGTGTAGTGTGACCTAAGTGTAAGTAGAAGTAGCAAGATGTATCTGAAATCTTGCATATTTACGAGAGAGAAAAAAGATCCTAGCAATTCTTCCATCATGTAAACAAATACAAGAATATATATAGAGATATAGAGATTTTTTCCTAATAAACAACACAGGCTCATAAATTTTTTGAGTAATCTGAATAAAATTTAGATAAAGACATCTATACACAGTTCAAGACATTTATTGAGGAAATGTTTTACCATAAGTGGCTTCTTCAGCCCTTATACAGAGAGACTGTATTACAACTGTAAGAAGTTACTCTTTGCAAGACCTTTCTTTAATAAATGTCTTGAACTGTGCATGTGTCTTCATCTATACTGTGTTGGTATCACAATACCTATTCTCCAGTTGTTTATAATGCTTTCAGTCTTTTTCTACATTCAGCTGTATAGACAAATGAACCGAGCTAGCATAAATGGTTCAACTTGTGGGCTCTCACAAAGGCAGTTTGAGACACCATGTATAATTGTGAATAATACTTGCTGAAAACTGTGAAGGTCCCTTATTTTATCACATGGTATCCCCTAATTAATTTTCCTATGAACAGTGACCTGTCAAGAGTTTCTGTTCATACTTTTGAGGGCTCCACTGAGAGAATTTTTTTTTTAAGGGGGAGGGTATATGCCCACAAAGAATGTATACTTTGCCAACAAAGCAATGTACAGTGTTGTTTCCCAAATATAAACCAGTAATATTGTGGTACAGAGGTACAGTATTGCAAGAAAAAACTAGAGAGGTTCCTGTAAGTGCCAGATTAACCTTGTTCTGATGGCAGTAGGGGCTTGTAGGGGCTTCAAGCAGTGCTCGGGCTGATCAAGTGGTCAGTGGGAAGTCTGGGAGGAGGCCATGCTGTAGAGTATGAAATTTGAAAAATGGTTGGAGGTATGTTGAAGGTAATTACTGACATGAGCTGCCATGTTTCATAAACACTTGGAAAATAAGATAAGACAGAGTCCAGATTGGAATGACCAGAGCAAGAGACGCATCATCTTTGACCCAGCGAGTGACATGTTAGACATGCAATAGACTCGGTCATGGACATGAATGTATACTGCTGATATCAGTGAAGAATAGGCATGGGTTAGCTGAGTGTGCTTTTAGTGTGTTGATTTCTTCACAGCCAAATGTGCTAGTTAATGCTTGCTCTGCAACTGTGATATTTCTTCATTCAGACTAAATTGTGTATTCTCTATGCAGACTTTTGCTCCAATGTCTCTTGTTTGTTAAAATATATTTTCCTCAAGTGAAGCTTTGTAAAGTTTGAACTGCCTGCTTGGTTGGGAATCTTTAGCTCACTGTTGCTTAATCTAATTGCTGGTGTTTCATGGATCTGCTATTTGTGTGCTTTGAACAAAAATGGACAGCTCTTGAAGGATCTGAGCCTGTGAAACCTGCAGAATTTCTTTTGAAGATTTGAGTTTTGATGCTTTGATCTTTGAGATTATTTTTGTTGGGCTTTATCCAATCTGATATGAAGTTATAGTAATTTATCTTTGTCCACTATTTCAGTTAATTAGTGAAATTATGACTAGGTATCTGGGATGAACTTATATCAAAATCTAATGGATAACATTTCTTTTTATTTCTATTAAAGCAAAATGGATTTCACAAGTTTTATCTTAATTTTGTTGTTTATACTTTGGCACAATTATATGCAATTAAATAACACATGGTAACTGAAGTAACTTTGTAGTTACTATTTCAGTGGGCTTCCCTCTTCCTTATTTTACTTTTCCTGTTCCTTGTTAGTTACTTTAGTATGGTATTATCTCTTAGGGCAATAGCTCCCAGCTCTCTCTACCGCTTCTTTTAATTACACACTAAGAGGGCCTCCCGAGTCTCAGATTTAACAAAATTTAAATGTAGTATATACCTACTATATGAATGTATTACAGTATGAATTTTTAATTTATCTGATTATTTTTATTTGATTGGTTTCAGTACCTGAGATTAAAAATCCAGGTTTCAATGAATGCAGCTCATTTTAACCCTTAAATGGTCCAAACATATATATACGTTCTCTCACGTAGCGCCCCAAATTTTTTGAGAAAAAAAAATTTTTTTTTTTTAAATAGGAAAAAAGAGCATATGGTACCCAGGCGTCCCCAATTTTTTTCATATGGCGCACAGTGAGTGCGCGCACCCATTCTCTCATATCTAGGTGACTCAGGCTTATCGTGCCAATGTTGAATGAATGACAAAGAAAACGTATGTATACGTTTGGGGCAGCTATGCGAGAGAACGTATATATATGTTTGGACCATTTAAGGGTTAATAGCATAATTTACAAATGAGTCGATGTTATTTCTTAGACAAGTACTAAAATTGCATGGTGAATTATTAAACCTATTTAATGCTTATTTATTGACCTCTAGCTCTAAAATATAAGAATTTGCAGTAGTTGTAACATTTGCAGAATATTCTGTATTCTAAAAGTGAGATTGAATTTGTAGTTTCTGAAATACTTAGGGGAGGTTATTATATCTGATTTGTGTTATGTCTGAGGGTTGTTTGTGCTTTGTTCAAGATTTTAATGAGCTAGATAATTGTTACGTGTGTTGGAAATATAAACACACATGCAGTATAATGTGACCCTTTATTGACAATGTTTTGCCCACGCAGTGGGCTTTTTCAAGTCACAAACAGATCTATTTGTGACTTGTAAAAGCCCACTGTGGGGGCGAAACATTGTCAATAAAGGATCACATTATACTTCATATGTGTTTATATTTCCGTTGTGTCGGTATTTTATACCATTTATTTCCTACGTGTGTTGGAGTGTGGCAGTGCTGGTCTTAGTGATGTAGCTAAGTGTAAAGAGCAGTGTGGAAGGATGAGAGTTACCTGCAATAGCTGTAATATCTTTACCTTTCATTTTCTATGTCACTATTCTCTGAGCCATGAAATGGATAAATGATCATTGATAATTTACTAAGAATTTGAAATTATTACCCGAAAGCTTTATTGTTTAAATAACAGTTGAAGAATAGACTACCCAAAATTCCTTAGAAATAATATTAATATGATGTATTGTTTTTTGTGTGTGGTGTGTTGTATTCCTGTTGACAGTTTTTTATTGTTAATTTTATTGTGGATGTTATTGTATGTGTCACATTTATTTTTATTGCCAATAAGTTAAGCAAATTTTTCATTTCAAAACAAAATGCAAATCTGAAAGTTACCATCTTGTCCTTTTTTTTTTTTTACCCAGAAGGAATTGTTGATAATGGGAATTGACTATATAATAATATTGCTGTATTTATAAGACTGAAAGATGAAATGTTATTTATTTGTGCAAGCATTTATTTTCTTGTATAACCAATATGTATAAGATGGAATTGCATTAAGATCTCAGTGTAATGCACATTTTCAAACATGAAATAATTTATAAATTGTTTCTTTCATTTCAGGGTAGATTGTTTTCTTAACTTTGGAGAAAATGGTGGAATACAGTTTTGTTTACGAAGTAGCATATACACTACATGGTATCGTAATTATTATGAATTATATAATTCACTATATATAAGCATTTAATGAGGTTTATTTATAAAAATGATAATAATATCTCCAGCACTCAGAATTTGAGTGGACAGGAATAACAACTAATAGTGATGACCTGAGCTACAGCAGTGAGAGTGAAGGAGGATGGGATGATAATGAAGAATCCGATCAAACCTTTCTTCTTCAGAAGCCTTAGACTGGAACATCCAGGGATCTCCTGCAGCAATCATAACCTCAACATCTAATATGTCTGTTAAAGGTGATGTAAATATAATTTCAATAATTGTCTTTTTATTTCAAGTTGGTCATATTTTCAGTTTTATATAAGGTTGTTAGTTTTTTGCCTTAATTCTTATTTTCCTACCAAACTCAGTAGTAGAATATTCTCCTCCTGTAATTTTACATTTTGTATCCCATGTTGGCTACTCTCTTATGGTTTTGCTGTATTTATTATTTTGTAAATTTTTCCCACTGTTCATTTCTGGATGCTACCTCAACAACATATAAAAGTATGCTTCCATTTGAAGACTCAATTGCTTAGCATCATGTGGCATGCTGCATTGTTTATCCTTGCTTCTTTCCCATATGCTTAGTATGCAAACTAATTATTTATATTTATCTTGCTTTTTGTTGCTGAACAGTAATTTAACTGCAATACTACAGATTCATTGTGGTGGCATGTGAGTATGTTGCATTGTTTTGAGATTCTGCGCTCTCCACCCCTCTGGTTGTCATTTGGGAAATAAGGTTTATGTATTATTGAACTGTTGTTTCCAAATTATATTATTACAGTTTATTCCATGTTAAAAAGTAGAATTCCATACGATTCCTTTCAATAATATAATAATAAATGGGTGGGCCTTAGTTACCCATGAAAATACCTCTCTGGGGAAGACCAATGGTGCCCCCAATACCTATGTGATAGTTAATTTCTTTGGCTATGTTTGTACTGCAGAACCACTTCGTATTCTACTCCATTATATTTACCTTAGTATTGCCCTTGCTGTAGTTTTCTTTGTCTTTTTATACTCATGCATATTATACATAGCATTTGTCTTTTTTTTCTACCTGTATGTCTCCCACTTGCATGTACTTGCTGAACTTCCTCATTGTTTTTCCACATATGTGCTTCTTATTGCAAGCAAATGGCAAATACTTCACTTATATGATAGTCAAGCCAGCATGTAGAATGTTTAACCAATGTTTCAGGTGACCCTACAAAAGTCTTTAATAATCACTTGAAGGCATTTGAATGTCTGGGGAAGACACCTCATGGGGCCACTCCTTCAAGGATGGGGAGTTCCCACAGGGAGTACACCACCACAGATATAGGTAGAATATACCTTTTTATTGTTTTTTATGTGTTTAATTTGACTAGCTTCGCTATTTCTATTTCTGAATTTTTCTCAAAAGTTTTGATAAAGTGTTTTTATATCTTGCATAATCTCACATTGAGTATCTATATATGTTATAAACACTAACAACAGGTCAGGGGTTGGATTTCTTCCTGCTATTATTTTTGATCTTCAAATATTCATTTGTCTTTTTTTTTTTCTGCATTTACCTATACAGGTACAGTAGTTCTACCTTTTTTTTTTTCAACACGCTGGCTGTCTCCCACCAAGGCAGGGTGACCCAGAAAAGAAAGAAATACTTTCACCATCATCCACAAATGATCACTGTCTGTGTAGAGGCATGTTGATATGACAGTTCAGATGTCACTCTAAACAGCCAATATCCCAAATCCCTCCTTATTTAATGTGCAGGCATTGTATTTCCCACCTCCAGGATTCAGGTCTGGCTAACCAGTTTCCCTGAATCCCTTCACAAAATATTACCCTGCTCACACTCAAACAGTGCGTCAAGTCCCAAAAACCCTTTGTTTCTATTCACTCCTATCTAACACGTTCACACATGCCTGCTGTATGTCCAAGCCCCCCCCCCCCCCTCCATCCTTTCCTAGGACATCCCCTATCCCTCCTCCCCTCCACTACAGATTTATACACCCTCCAAGTCATCCTGTTTTGCTCCATCCTCTTTAAATGACCAAAACACCTCAACAACTCCTTCTCAGCCCTCTGAATATTACTTTTAGTAACTCCACACCTCCTCCTAATTTCCACATTTCAAATTCTCTGTATAATATTTTCACCACACATTGCCCTTAGACATGATATCTCCACTGCCTCCAGCCTCCTTGTTGCTGCAGCATTTACAACCCATGCTTTACACCCATATAAGAGTGTTGGTACCACTATACTCTCATACATCCCCCCTTTGCCCCCATGGATAACCTTGTACAAAAACATTATACAAAAAGCGAATTTTCTTTGAGTTTCAGGTTTTCTCTTCCATGATAAAAGTTGAGACAGTGTATATTGTAGAGAATTTTTAGTTTTTAGCCCTAAGATGTAAGGAAAAAATTGTCTGGGATATACATATAAAACACTAGTGTAACTTGCAGTTTGTGGGCTTCCTAATTTGTTAGTTTTGATTGTCCCAAGTTTTAACCAAGTGATAATAATAGTAGTAGTTTATTTTCACAATGTGCATAGTTTTTACAAAACCCAGATGACATCTATTAGTACATGTGGAAAATCCCGAATTATTCACTCCAAAATAGCTTTGAGTGGTCGCATTGTTTTTATAGTGTCCATTTTTTTTGGGAGGCTTGATGCACGTCCCCTAAATTCAAAATTAATTATAAAATTTCTTTCAAAGTGTGCTCAATTGTTTCATCAAGCCCAAATGTAATTTTCTTTCTGGTTAGTACAAGTAGCAGTATGAGCCCAAATCTTAAACAAAATTTATTATGTAGACAGAACTTTTTATTATTCATGGATTCTAGATATCTGGGTCCTTCAAGAATGTAAGCCCCCCTCATGCCCCCATCCCCTATGCATCCAGAAGTTGGGGGTTTGGCTGTTCAGTACAGTATATTGAAATATGGAAGTGTACAGGAACTATATCTTATGATTAAGCAAAAGCATAGGACATGCACCTACGATATAAATTTTCTCACACCTATCGAGTCCTCCACACTATACATCACGCATGAGAATGCAGGTCGAAGAGTGCTTGCATATGATTCGTCTTCAGACTGAGTAATGCTGCTTCAGGTACAGGTGTCATGTATGAGCTTGACCTTGTGTATTTATGTACACGCAAGTGTGTAAGTGTCCCTTTGCTCTTCATCACACAAGATGCAACTATGCCACAGTATAATTTTCCAAAACTAAAATAATAAATACTCTCTTCTGTATTATAAATTATTACTTACGGACCTGAATTCATAAATATTCTGGGTTATTCCCTGTGCTATTAAATTTCCTTACTCGATACTGATCATGCATTCATTGGTAGAGTGGTTCTTATTTGACTTAAAATTTTTCTGTGGGGGCACCTATATAAATGTTCCACATTGAATAATAACCCTTAGGACAGAATTGTGCTCTAATCCGATTATATATAATAGTCATTATTAAGTACTTGTTGGAATCATAACTGAAAGGAATTCGTTTGGGTACTTGTAATTCATGTAGTCAGAAAACAATTTTTACTCTAATTTTTTAAATCCTTGTTATTGACTATTTTGAATGTGAACATAATTTGTATATGAAGAGTGAATATGTGTAAACAGTAAAACAATCAGGTATTGTAACTGTTGAAGAATTGTTCTCCTCTTCAGATTAGGGAAAGAAAAATGGTAATCAGTGGTAGCTGGGAGGTCCTTTTCTGTACTTCATTTGCAGTGATTTGAATATTGTACTCTTGTGTCAGTGCTATGCCTCACTCTGCCTAGGCCTCTTGCCACCTTCAACTCCCTTATGGCTAGCCTAACCTGCCAAGAATGTAGGTTCAGAAAACCATTCCAAAGGATCCTTCTCCAGGAAGCTCTGATCCAAGCCAAGGATGCTGAAGAAGTCATTTGAATGATTACTAAAAATGAAAAAAAAAAAAAAGGTCTGTTCTTGATGGCAGACTACTGCTTTCCTGAGGGGTCTTGATATGCTTTTCACCATCTCTTCATTCGGCACCAAGGTGTTGAAAAGATTTTTCATCTAAGTATCAGCGGAGATTTGCAAATATGGCTTTTGCTATACTCAGATCTTCATAAGCCAAAAGTGTTTTTTATAAACTTGAGGTCCTGCGGTGGAGGAAGGTGCAGAGCAATACCCAGTTTTGGCCTGTGCTAACAACTTGAACCAAATTCTGATCATTCAAGCTGAATAAGTACATGCAGTTGACTTTTGATTAACACTGGAGTTTTATTCTTGAAAATTGCGTCTGAGATGAAATTGTGTAAAACAAAGTGAAGAGTGTTGTTTTTTTTTTTTTTTTTATTAATATGTTGGCCATTTCCCACCAAGGCATGGTGACCCGAAAAAGAAGAAACTTTCTTCATCATTCACTCTATCACTGTCTTGCCAGAGGCATACCTACACTACAGTCAGATACTGCAACATCAACACCCCTTCTTCAGAGCACAGGCACCTCCAGGACTCAGGTCCGGCTTGCTGGTTTCCCAGAATCCCTGGGATTTTTTTTTATACTGTGCACACTCACTGCACAGACCTATTCTCTCATATCTAGACCAAGATTTACCACTCACAGCTTATCTTAGTGAGCTGTGCTCATGACATAGAACTACATGAGGGACCCTGGCCTCAATGACGTACTTCTGTGTAATGGCTGCTGAAAGGTTTAAATATAGCAGTGTAGAAGAGGCTGAAGGCAGGTGAGATGTGCCTGAGGGCAGTGTGTGGTGTAAATATCATGCAGAAAATTCATAGTTTGGAGATTACAAGGTGGTGTGGGATTACTAAAAGTATATTCAGTTGGCTGAGGTAAGGTTAAGGTGTTTTGGATATAGAGTGGATGGAGTAAAATTGGATGACTAAGAGGGAGTATAAACCTGAAGTGGAGGGAAAGATGGGTAGAAGTCATCATAGGGAAGGTTGGAGGAAGGGAGTAAAGGAGATTTTGTGTGTGAAGAGCTTGATTGTTGTACAGGCATATGTGAGTATGTTAGACAATAGTGATTGGAGGCAAGAAGTTTCTTTGATGTGATATGCTGTTGGAGTGAGATACAACCAGTGAGACATAACACTTTGGGCTAAAGCTGTAAGAGATATATAACTGGCTAGTAGTGTACTAGTACAATATAACAATGTTGGGCTTACACAAGCAGGTTTATATAACACTGGCTAGTAGTGTACTGGTGCATTTAACAATGTTGGGCTAAAAAAGGTTTTTTAAAATATGGTTTCATGGTTCTTTTTTGGGGTAGGATTTAATGTTGGGTGCATGTGGTTTAAGGAATTAAATCAACAAAATCCCATCAGCAAATTTAAAAGATTTATCGGATTCCATTAAATCAGGTTAATTTGATTTTAATGTTCATTTAGGGGTATTTGATCTTTTGTTGACGTGTTCGTGATCCGCAGTCAGCAGGCATCCCCTTTATATGCCCTTTCCTGACTTTCCCTTCACTGAGTGTTTGTAGTCCCCCTCTTTTAGTACATTGCCCTGTTTTTAAATTACTTAATTAAAAATTTAGGGACTTGTATGTTAATATTGAACATAGTTTAGACCTCAAGACATCAGATCAGACCATTAGTTACTTTCAAAAACTAAACCCTGACATTATCTAGATTCATATTTTACCATGTTAGCATTAGACACAAACCTGCTATCAGTTTTGGATGCAAACTTAAATACCATGTTCTAATGTATTTTTTTTTCTCTACAATCCATTCTCTGTCTCTCTGTCTCTCTTCTTCTTTCTCTGTCTCCCTCTGTCTCCCCTCTGTCTCTTCTTGTCTCTTCTCTCCTCTTTCTGTCTCTCTCTCTGTCTCTTCTCTGTCTCTTCTCCTCTCTCTCTTCCTCCTTTTCTGTCTCTTCTCTTTCTCTTCTCTGTCTTGCTCTGTCTCTTCTTCTCCTGTCTCTTCTCCCTTTTCGTCTCTGTCCTTCTCTGTTTTTCTGTCTCTTCTCTCTCTGTCTCTGTTCTGTCTCTGTCCTAGTCTTGTCTCCTTCTCTGTCTCTTTTTTTTTTAACAGGGTTGCAAGGTTAAGGATCCCTAGCTTTTTGACAAATTTACAGGGTTTAAAGGTTCCTAATTTTTTGGGAAGCTAAAAGCTGTTACCTACATCAGTCATTTGAAAGATTTTATTGTTATGAACATAAAAAGTAGGGAACGGGATGAATTTGGGGAGCCTTGGGGCCAGCATTTCATTTGATCAATGACTTTATCTCGTTGCATTTTATGCTGTAAATTGTTCCATATTGAGAATCCGGGGTATGTATGATCTCAGAGGGGAGGATTTTCTGGA